CTCCACTCCACTCCACTCCACTCCACTCCACACTTTCGTTCATGGCGATGAAGAGTATGTCATGTAGGTGCACGAGAGTATTTGCGGGCCAATGACGAAGAGCTTAGCCAAGAAGCCAACCCAACACCCCACCAATCCAACGCACCAGGTCTCGTGGCCGTTAAGCAACAAGAAGCTTTCCGATAGGAATATGCTCTACTCAAAGAATTTTGAGGTTTTGCGTCCTACTACTACGTAAGTCCACTGACGCCCGAAACAACGAAAACGACCGTTGCGTTCTCCCGCCTGATGTCTCTCACATGTTTATCTGAGCCTGATTCAACAAGTTGGCTACCGAGAGGTTAAGTACCGCACGAACAGGTCCACGCCACACGCTTGCCGCTGCAGCTGTTCGAGCTGCAGGCCGCTGTGGCAAACGCGCGCAAGGGCGCGGGTTTGCTACGTCGGTGCTCTGGAGCAACTCTGAGGAGCAGCGGCTGTGCGCTGCTTTGGCAAAGCCAAAGCAGAGGAGGCGGGCCGGAAGCGACGTGGGCTGCCCCGATGTGTACGATGAAGCTGGTGCGGTTGGCTTGGAAAGGAACTTATATGAACTTATTAGAATTTAAGCCAGGCAGGCTGGAACATATTTTTTGGTGACACCAAGCAGTGGTCATGAACCCATCATAGTTGAATGGCCCCTTGTCGGCTGAATGGACCCCGACGAATTCCGAATAAGCCACAGGGCCCCACGCGCCGCCGGACTCCAGAGCGAGCAGGCGCAACGCAGTCACTGTGGACAGTGATAAGGCCGTGATAGGGCTTCAAAACAGTATAGTTTGTGGAATGAAAACCATTTGAAGGTTTTGCAACAGGGTCAACAGGGTTCAGATTCGCAGAGGACGCCCCAACTCTTAGTGGAAGGGTAGGATGTTGTTGGGTGGCGTGGAGCTAATCCGAAAACTCTGTCTCTCTCTCTCTCTCTCTCCGTGTCTCTCTCTCTCTCTCTCTCTCTCTTCTCTGTCGGTTGGTGGCGTGGAGCCAAGCCGAGAACTTCGAACCCTTCTTCTCTAGTTCACCCTATTAGACTATTGGAAGACTCGCAGGTTCTTTATACCAGTCCAACATGGTGGAGTTCTAGTTTTTTTGCTCCAGTGTGGCTGCGGAGGGAGAGCCCCACGTAGACCTGGGTGTAGGGACCCAACGGGGCAAACCTTCGGCGCGACCAATGACATCGCAAAAGCAATAAGAAGCCGTTGTCTTGAGCTACCATGATGTGCACAGCGCACGTTTCTGTAGGCGTCGTTTTCTTCCTCGTCGGGGTGGAGGACCAAGTCACAGCTCCGACGAAAGTTGGCGGCGACGGAGAAGGACGCGCGACGAAGCATGTCGGGTTTGTGTATGGCAGACAGGAAAGCTGCCACGTGCAAGGGCGAAAGCGTTTATTTATCATTGTTGTATGTTTGAACCCCGAATTTCAAGTTTTGCTGTGGTGGTCTGACAAGCAAATGTAAAGAATTGTGTTCTTCTGTTGAACGCATGCTTGAGGGGCCCTATCAATGAAGATGACCATTGGGCAGCCAGCCTAGCGCTGTCCAGCAGTCGCGCCACCTACATACTCTCAACACCACCAATGTTGCATGCGCTCTAAAATAAGGCCTTGGGGCCCCGAACCATTGAACTAGGCAAAGCCAAGCGTTAAACAACGGTTGCAATTGCAATGGAAGAGCTTTCCATGTGCCCGCAAGGAGATAGCTGTTGCGAAGGCCATGTCCCAGGCGTTGAAGCGGGGCTTGGC